TAAAGTATAACCGTTAACGGACGCACTTTTTAAACAAAGTCATTCGATCACATTCCGGCAGTATGTCGTCAGAATTTTTTATGTTTATTTTTGAGAAAAACCAATTGGGGCTAACGTGCTCTCCTACAAGTATAGAAGTAGTTCTAGCTTACTATTTCGCGTAAGTAACCTAAACTAGGGGTACCTTCCGGGAAGTGCCAACGAGGCGAATTCGTTTATCTTTTGTGGAATGTGCCTATCCAGATCTTCGCGATTTGTCACATAATTTTCGAAGTTTACAATGGATTTCGCTATAGAAAAGAATGGCACTCCACTAAAGAAAAAAACTTCGGTACATTCTAGGCTTTCCCTTCGCTTAAAAAATAACAACATACAGGCTTGAAGCTTTGTTGGTAAATTGGAGCAAGTTAGCACTATTCAAAACCATAAACGTTAGAAATTAAAATATACTTCAAGTGAGGCCGGCCTTTGACTGCTTAAATTGAAAAATTAATATTAAATCTCGAGCTTGCACCGATCAAAGGCATCATCAGGGATAAGAAAAATATTCCTCATGGTAATGTACAAAGAAAAAAATTGGTGTAAGCAAAATGTGGGAAAAGCGCAAGAATGGGGCGGAATGTATCAGAGGTATAAAAAATTAAAAACTTTAATAAAATACAAAGACTAATGATCAAGTGGCAAGGGACAAAGAGTCTCTCTAAAGGCAAAATGATTCATAATGACGGTCTTTAAAACAAAAGGTCTGCAAACTCGTTGCATTCTTCATGGGCGTTTAGGGCTGTCTTTAATGTACATCGAGCTGCAAAAGGACACGAGCTGATTGGCAAAATCACTCCAAAGGCAAAAATAACTTTTAAAAAACAAAAGGTCCTCAAATGCGTTGCATTCCTCACAGGAGGTGAGGACCGGCTCGATGTAAATCGAACTGCGAAGAACACGCTGGCTCTGACAAACGTTTTGAGAATACAACCCTGTTCCTTGATTAGCTACCGTATAAAATTCATTTTACAAAGGAAAAGATAACACTGAGAACCCTGGTTCTGAGTCGAGAAACGAACAAGCTACATCAATGTAAATAGAATTGGAAGAACAAGCTGGTTCTGACAAAAATGGAACGTAAAGCCCTATTCCATGATCAGCTGCTGCTTTAAACTCAATTTATGAAGCAAACCAGGTCACTAATAGCCCTTTCAAATCTAGAAATCGTATTAAAGCTTGCTCACCTGTTAGGGCCTCTTGAACAGAAAACAAGCAGCTGTAGAAGGGATCACCCAAGTTTCGAACCACGGAGTTGAAATTTCACGCCTTTTACCATTTCATTAATTAAGAAACTCCGCTGGTGATGAAAAACATTCCACACACATAAAGAATCTATTTCGCGCGTTTACAAATATCTTCTTTCGAAACAGCGATTTAAAACAGTTTTTGGGCCATTCCTCCAAATAAAACCGGCAAACATGCACAGGTGAAACATTTTCCCAATCGAAGCGCTAAGCATGCTCGCCTCACCACAGACTTAAACGGGAAACCTCCCGATAAAAAGCCAGGCATTTCTGACAGGTCGTCTTTTTTGCGTCGGCGTAGCTTTAATATTTCAGTTCGTTTGGCAGAATGGCCAGGCTGCTTCAAAAGCATGTTAACTTTCGTGATTCATCCTCAGAATACCAAAAATTCTTCGTGTGTTGGCGCAAGATGTGCCTTATGGTAGTATTGTATGAAAGCGTACGTTTTATAGAAACGACGACTTGTCAACGACTTGTCAGTGTCGGCAACTTAAACTAAACCGGTTGTCAACGCAAATTAACACCTATTGTCTATGACCAATCAAACGCCTGCGTTGCAGGTACAACGCGGTCCGTGAACGCGAGCTGCAGTGATGTTATTACAGTCCCTCTATTTATCTCGTCCCCCTCCCTACAGCTGTGATCCTCGACGCCTGCCCCTCGGTACACTTGAAAATCAAAGTGGCCTCCATTAACAGATGATGCAAGCTACTCAGGGGCTGTGACTTCAGTCTTGAAGACAGGAAAAAGATGATAATTCGTTGTAGTAGCAACTTACATATAACAGGAGCTTAATCGCCAGGCGCCTGATCAGTTCACCGACGGAGCCGTGTGGAGCAAATCGTGCTCCGACGAAGACCCCTTTCCTGATCAACAGCCGTAGTTTTCCTTCAAACCGTGATAATCCTTTTCACAACGATACCTTAAAATAACGAGGCATGGACGGTTATCACTTGTAACGCTCTTAGTGCTGATGAGGTTTTTTCGCTCTCCATGTTCTTCTTTTGCACTGCCAAATTGAAGCGATTCATTCTTCGCTGATGAAATGGATTCGGTTGACCAAACGTATCAATCTTTGAGCATTGAAAATTATGCAAATCAACCCATGGCGGACACCTTAAACAACCGTACAGTATAAAACACGGACTGCGGACTGGGTATAAAATACGGACTAGGTATAAAACACGGACTGGAAAATACGTACTAGGTATAAAACACGGACAGGGTATAAAATACGGACTACGGACTACTTTGGTAAAAACGGTGCTAATTGGTTCTAGGTAAGGAAAAATAGGATCAAAAGATCGCTAAATAGCAAGACACGTGAGTTAAAGTTGTAAATACTCCTATAAATGCTTGGTGGAGGTGTGCCGCCCGGTTCTCTGAGTGATGAGCCGGATCAAGATGTTATTTTCTTCACCCATTTTCATACCTCGGGGGTGTACTCCCTTATATAAGGGAAGGGTAGGGGTTTTGGGCTTTGGTGTGGAATCGGGTATGGTTTTCGAGGGAACTACGGGAGCTTACATGAAGGGACGTATTTATCGTTTCAGTTCCAGATGAATAACAACGAAATAGAAATGTGCGAATTCGAAATGCATTTGGAGAATTTTTTGTTTTCGCTCTAACTTGGTAAAAAGGCGCATGGCTGCTACAGCAATAAGTAACGACAGGGACCAACAAATGCCCGGCCACTCCTTATTATCAGCAAGTTGTCAAAGAAGATATGACCAATGTGGCAACAGGAAGGCGTTAAGCTAAGGTTTGTGCTAAGAAGCACACTAACCCACCGGTAGAAAAAAGCATGTTTCTGTTTCTCTGCGAGGTTTGCTGTCTTCATTTTCGAAATACCCGTGGTCATATGCATTTTTCACGTCAAAATCGGCGGAATTTGGCGAAGTGTTATCTCGAATAGGACATTTTACATTGGCGTACACCGACGTACGAGGGTAAATTGACGTTATAACCAATGAAAGAAAAATGGTAAACATTGCAGCCGTGCAGCAATTGAGCTATGGATGCACGCGGGAGGTTGCCAAGCACGAGAAAAGCGTTATGTTGATTGTAAAAAACCGTTTACGTCAGCTAAAACGGCTTTCTAAACTCTTTCTCAGTACTAACACAAAAACACCAATATAATGCGAAATATTTATCCAAATTTAATGATAAAAATGCTTTCAGGAGAAAAAAAAAAAATGTATATATTTTTTCCAGATTTTACTAGCTGATTGCATAGGCGTATGTGCGTACACGCACGCTACATTCCTGGTTGGAGAAATTAACCGAGCTGGGCCAAGCTTTACACGGGGTAACATTTTGTTGTTGACAAAGAACCGCCGAAGCAATTTTTTTGTCTACTTTTGAAGGAAACGTGGATTTGTTTCAATCATAACATAGTTTGACAACTTTAACACAGAAGGCCCACTGATCGAAGCTAGACGTAAAGCTCACAATAAACCCATTAATACTGTTACGAGACTTCTCTCCCTGGGAATGAAGAAAAACAATATGGCCGCCCAATACATACTTTTAGTTTTTAAAGTTCTCCCGTTAATAACAAACGTTGAACATTTATTTCGGCAAACAAACAGTTACGTTGAAAAAGGATTTTACAAAAGTCTCAAGAGTAGGTCTCCTTTTCGATTTAAACTTGCAATATCGGTCAATTTACGCAACTTTTAAGCTTCTGGCTCAGTTTTCGTTTGGTTCTGCTTTGAATTTGAATAATAATTACTCAGAGATAATACAGTGTAAAGAATTGTTGAGGAAAAAATAACTTGCCAATTTATGACAAAAAGGCACTTTAAAAACGAACTAAAACATTCAAAACGCTTTGATCACGTGACTGATAACTTCATGTCCCTATTTTGGGCAAGAAAAAATTATCAGTTAGAACATTACCTTCCCGCAAATTTTCTCTGTCGTGTGATAAAAGGTTGACTCTCTACATCCCTCGGCCTAGTCTCCCGACTTTTTCGCTCATGTTGATTACCCCCTTATATTTTAAATGCCGGACGTCAACTGGTTATTTTTAAATCCCCCCCCCCCCACCCCTGAACTAAAACCTCAATTCTGCTATTTGTTTTAACTCGTTAACAAAATCTTGTCACAGCAGCAAACAAACCTAATTCGGAATAGTCACGTGACTGAGGACGTTATTACCTTAGATGTGATGTGGGAAGATATTTCATGGCAAATGTTTTCTTCTTGTGGACTGACATTCTTCTACGTATAGAATTGTCACAGTTGTAAAGCTTTTAAAGGATTCTGGGATAATTTTTTTATGGTAATTATAATTTACTTTTATAATTATCATTTATTAGATAAATCCTCAACTACAGTACGCACATGAGTAAAACCACAAGACACCTTTTCAATGCTTTATTTAAATCAACAGTACCACCCTAATTTCACAACTACATTTAATTTCGTTACATCAAGTTTTCTGTTAATGGGACACGTCATCTTTGCAGTACCGTTAGGCTGTCGATAACTTAACTTTCAATCTGTTAAGGCTTAGGACGTCTGCTGGGCCGGAGCTTCTTGCATATTTGCCGCAGTTTTTTGCAAATCTTTTTCTAAGTGGGAGAGAAGATGAATTGGGTGAATTTTTTAATACCTCTGTGGTAGGATACTTCTAAAACTTTGTTGATTTTTTTTAATCACATGTCAGGATTTTCATTGATTGATGCTGGCCGTCTTTATCATTTGACGCTAATTTATCAGTGAATATGAAAAAAATTGAGGTATGATTACTTTATTGACAAAAGGGTAATCACTCTTTCAAACGTATAACAACCTACCCCGGCTGAAAAAAATAACTAAAGAGCTAGCTCAGCTGGTGCATGTATTGCATCAAGTCGTATAAAAACAATGTAAGTTGACTACACACTTTTGCTGTAAAACTACGTCTCGACATCAAAGTCTGAGGGTTCAAAATAACGACAAGAAAGGTCTTACCTTGATGGGACGTGTGAGACGAGGACCAGTTGGCTTCTTTAAGCATTTCTTAAAATACAGTTTGCACTTTTTAAGAGAAAAGAATTAAACTATGTGAGTTTTATAATAATGGCTCAATGATACGTTACCGTTTATATTAAAACACCGTTTGCTAAGATTTTATTAATGATACCATTCTTTATCACCGTGATGCCAATCACCAGAAAAAAGGGTATGGCTATTTGTTTGACAGAGTTATCGATCTAACATGTTAACCAGATAAAATACGCAATTTTCGGGTTGAGGGAGCGCGATTCTTCCGAAGTTCCCCTCAGCACCTATTTTATAAGGACGTGAAAGGGAGTCTTAAATTAAGTTTGCTACTTTAAGCTGATTGTGAAAATCCCAGTAGTTTGTTTAGGATTGGTGACAAGGTTGAAGATCTTACTGCCCTCCGAGGGCCACTTGGACGGGGACGACGAGGGGGGTCATTCTTCTCATCAGCAAGCTCGGCAATGGTTTCATTATCCTCTTCATCTAACAACTCCGCGACTGCCTCATCCTCAAAAGGCTCTTCAGCCAGGGTGGCGACTGCCGCTCCGAGAAACAGGAGAACAAGTAGAGATTTCATTTCCCAACCAAAGTTCACTGCTACATACCCGTTAGCAATGTGACTAACATAGTTCTTTGCGCGGCCCTTTTTACTGGCACGTGACCCTGTTAAACGTTAGGCATATAACAAAAGCGCTGGCAAACACACATTTGCTGATTATTGTTTACTTTCCGTTAGGCGCGAGGGTAATAAACTTAAGAATTGGTAAACGTGCAGCGTGCGACCATGGAGTTATGGATGCACGCGGGAGGTTGCTAAGCACGAAAGAAGCGTAAGAGTCGCACGAGGCGATAGCCGAGTGCGACTCTAGCTTCTTGAGTGCTTAGCAAACCTCCCAAGTGCATCCATAACTCCACGGTTGCACAGCTGCAACGTTTACCATTTTTTTTTATAACATAATCAAAAGAGAAAAACATTATTTTCCATTTGCCTTTCGGTTGAGTCATCGGTCCGAGTTCATGTATGGTGACATCTGCCCGCGCGTAAACAAATCATGTTCTATGTTTTTCAAAAACTTGCCTTTGAGTTTTTCTTTCGCTGAATCAACCGTTCTCCGTCCTCAGGTAAATTGCAAAACGTTTTTCGTTGTTATTCTGAATGGCATCTGTCTACTTGCTCTTAATATGAGGGTAAAAACTTTGAGGGAAAACTATAGCTGCAACTATAAACACCAACTAAAAAGACTAAAAAATAAGCTAAAACTAATTAAATGAAATAATTATCAAGGTTATTTATGTGACAATTTTTGAAATAAACGCAAAGTAGAAATGAGAAAATTTGACTGTAATTCCTTTAGAATAACAGGTAACACTAATTTTAAAAAGAAATTAACTAGCTTTGTATGGAAATCTGTCTGGGGAAATCCAGCTATGAAAGTGAAAGTTGAAACTGAAATTCGCCGACACACAGCCGGCGCTGAAGCTGTTGTTTTTCGACCGTTCTCCGAACGACTGTTATGAATGAACACTGAGGAACAAAATAATACACACAGAAGTTATTTTTTGAAAAATTTATTTGGAAACCCAAATGTTTCTGTACTCAAATGAAATTCCCTTATTCCAGCGTTATGTGCCCGTTTAAACTCAACTAAAATTTTTAATCGATGCGATGAAAACTTCACAACAAAGCTGTCTCGAATTTGAGCGTGTTTCCTAAAATATTTGCTTGAATTTAGCATCAGCTTGACCAAAAAGTCAATAACACAATGCTAATTGATAATTTTCCTTTCCAAACAGACTTTCTCTTCTATAAAAAACACACAAAATGTACCTTAAATCTTCGCTCGCTCGATTTTCCTTCAGCAGATTCTAGCCGCGAGGAAAACAGTGATTCATTCATCCAGGGCAAATTTGTCGCTTGATCTTTTGTCTTTTTTCCTTCAAAACGACAGCTTAGTATTTTCTTCAACTTCCACTTTTCATCTGTGCATTTCATCTGTGTATTTTACCGTCAGGAGAGGAGATTTGTTGAATTTGCCTAAATTTTACCGCGCTAGCTCAGTTTCTTAGCGTGCACCCACGGGAAAATGGTAGTGGCTGACTGACCAATCAAAGCGCGCGATTTAGTTTTGTTATGTTATAAATCTTATTGACTCTTATATCAACAGCCGGGATGTTTATCACCTTTTTCCTTTGTGAGCAGCGGTGTATTGTGTGCCATGTTTTATCTTTTTCGGTTTTACCCCTTTTGTTCAACCTGGTATTTATTTTGCGCCAAGCTTGAAGATAAATATTTTACTTTGCGTTTGGAAGTTACTAAAATATTTACTACAGGTGCATCTTCGCACCCACAACACTCCCAAACGCACACATTCTCCCTAACTTCTATCTTTCGTTAGGGATCCCATACTTTGAACACCCGTAATGCGACTAATGCCACAAAGGTTGTTAGATGAATATACTGTTGTTGTTGTTGTTGGTTTTTTTTACAAAGCAAAAAGTGATAACTGCGATGATCATCCTTCATTTAATTTAATTTTATTTCATCTTCTTATTTTTGTAAGTATGTCTTTTATACTGCCATTTCATTTCATTTACTTATAAATTTATCTCTACCCTTTTTTCTATTTTAGCACTTAATTACTTGAGGTAGACATAGAGTTTGTCGGTCCCTCATTATTAGTGCAAATCTTAACATCTAACTTTGTTTTTTTTGCTTTCTATAAGTAACGTTTGCATTTGCAAAAAGAAAGCCTGAAATAAACTCAGGCTTGTACGGGATTCGAACCCTTGACCTATGCAGAACTTGTGCAGCGCTGTACAAATTAGGGAGTTTAAGATGCCCCTACGGCGACGGCAACGAGAACGTCAAAAAGCAATTGGTTAAGATTAGCAAAACAACAACACGCTTTTTTGTACATTTCTTTGCCGTCACTGCACGACTACGACGTGAATTGCCTAATTTCACGTTTTATCGACAACGTGAACATACGACGACGAATCTCTCTTACTCTTTGCATACCTGGATTTTTTTCTTAAGAATTCAACTGTGGGAGAGTTCGCTTACATAAAACATAGTGACCGAGTTGGGATAATCGCGCTAAAGTTTCATAGATCGAGGAGTCACTTTTTAAGCGATGTTTTTGCCGCCGTCGCCGTCGTGGTATCTTAAACTCCCTATTAAGCTAACAAGCCAACTGGGAGCAGGGCGTTGAATGGGATCGTTTACTATAAATTATCCTTCATTTAATTCGTCACGCCGCAGTTCATATATATGATTTTCATATATTCAAAACTTCAAAATAAAATTAGTTGAAAGGCTAAAATTGGATTCGAGGTTAAAAGAAGAGGAAGAGAAAAAATTACTTGAGATGTTAGGATAAGTATTAGCAATGAGGGAGCCTTCGCGGAATAGCGCGGAACATCACCGATTCCGCCCTGATTCAGGGTGCCTTTTGTACTTTGAAAGGCGCATGGCTGCTACAGCAATAAGTAACGAGAGGGACCGACAAATGCCCGGCCACTGCTTATTATCAGCAAGTTGTCAAAGAAGATATGACCAATGTGGCAACAGGAAGGCGTTAAGCTAAGGTTTGTGCTAAGAAGCACACTAACCCACCGGTAGAAAAAAGTATGTTTCTGTTTCTCTGCGAGGTTTGCTGTCTTCATTTTCGTAATACCCGTGGTCATATGCATTTTTCACGTCAAAATCGGCGGAATTTGGCGAAGTGTTATCTCGAGTAGGACATTTTACATTAGCGTACACCGACGTACGAGGGTAAATTGACGTTATAACCAATGAAAGAAAAATGGTAAACATTGCAGCCGTGCAGCAATCGAGCTATGGATGCACGCGGGAGGTTGCCAAGCACGAGAGAAGCGTTATGTTGATTGTAAAAAACCGTTTACGTCAGCTGAAACGGCTTTCTAAACTCTTTCTCAGTACTAACACAAAAACACCAATATAATGCGAAATATTTATCCAAATTTAATGATAAAAATGCTTTCAGGAGATAAAAAAAAAATCTATATATTTTTTCCAGATTTTACCAGCTGATTGCATAGGCGTATGTGCGTACACGCACGCTACATTCTAGCCTGCGCGCAGACGAAATTAAACTCTGGTTAACTCCGTCTGCGAAACAGCGCCGAAATCCTTGTTCTGCACTTCCAGCTGTGTACCCAGATTTGAGTACGCGCCACGATTGGCCAGTTAAAAAAGGCCTTTGTTTTGTTTGTCGTGATCGCCAATCAGGTTGAAGGGGAACTCGAAACGCACTTCCGGTAATTCGTTGAGTCCGTTGGGGGTCCAGAACAAGGATCTTGGCGCTGCTTCGCAGACGGTACTAATCAGAGTTTATTTATCGTCTGCACGCAGGCTAGCTACATTCCTGGTTGGAGAAATTAACCGAGCTGGGCCAAGCTTTATACGGGGTAACATTTTGTTGTTGACAAAGAACCGCCGAAGCAATTTTTTTGTCTACTTTTGAAGGAAACGTGGATTTGTTTCAATCATAACATAGTTTGACAACTTTAACACAAAAGGCCCACTGATCGAAGCTAGACGTAAAGCTCACAATAAATCCATTAATACTGTTACGAGACTTCTCTCCCTGGGAATGAAGAAAAACAATATGGCCGCCCAATACATACTTTTAGTTTTTAAAGTTCTCCCGTTAATAACAAACGTTGAACATTTATTTCGGCAAACAAACAGTTACGTTGAAAAAGAATTTTACAAAAGTCTCAAGAGTAGGTCTCCTTTTCGATTTAAACTTGCAATATCGGTCAATTTACGCAACTTTTAAGTTTCTGGCTCAGTTTTCGTTTGGTTCTGCTTTGAATTTGAATAATAATTACTCAGAGATAATACAGTGTAAAGAATTGTTGAGGAAAAAATAACTTGCCAATTTATGACAAAAAGGCACTTTAAAAACGAACTAAAACATTCAAAACGCTTTGATCACGTGACTGATAACGTCATGTCCCTATTTTGGCCAAGAAAAAAATTATCAGTTAGAACATTACCTTCCCGCAAATTTTCTCGGTCGTGTGATAAAAGGTTGACTCTCTACATCCCTCGGCCTAGTCTCCCGACTTTTTCGCTCATGTTTATTACCCCCTTATATTTTAAATGCCCGACGTCAACTGGTTATTTTTAAATCCCCCCCCACCCCTTAACTAAAACCTCAATTCTGTTATTTGTTTTTAACTCGTTAACAAAATCTTGTCACAGCACCAAACAAACCTAATTCGGAATAGTCACGTGACTGAGGACGTTATTACCTTAGATGTGATGTGGGAAGATATTTCATGGCAAATGTTTTCTTCTTGTGGACTGACATTCTTCTACGTATAGAATTGTCAAAGTTGTAAAGCTTTCAAAGGATTCTGGGATAATTTTTTTATGATAATTATAATTTACTTTTATAATTATCATTTATTAGATAAATCCTCAACTACTGTACGCACATGAGTAAAACCACAAGACACCTTTTCAATGCTTTATTTAAATCAACAGTACCACCCTAATTTCACAACTACATTTAATTTCGTTACATCAAGTTTTCTCTTAATGGGACACGTCATCTTTGCAGTACCGTTAGGCTGTCAATAACTTAACTTTCAATCAGTTAAGGCTTAGGGCGTCCACTGGGCCGGAGCTTCTTGCATATTTTCCGCAGTTTTTTGCAAATGTTTTTCTAAGTGGGAGAGAAGATGAATTGTGTTAATTTTTTAATAGCTCTGAGGTAGGATACTTCTAAAACTTTGTTGATTTTTTTTAATCACAAGTCAGGATTTTCATTGATTGATGCTGGCCGTCTTTATCATTTGACGCTAATTGATCAGTGAATATGAAAAAACTGAGGTATGATTACTTTATTGACAAAAGGGTAATCACTCTTTCAAACATATAACAACCTACCCCGGCTGAAAAAAATAACTAAAGAGCTAGCTCACTTGGTGGATGTATTGCATCAAGTCGTATACTTGGATGGGGACGATGATGGGGGTCATTCGCTTCATCAGCAAGCTCAGCAATGGTTTCATCACCCTGTTCATCTAACAACTCCGCGACTGCCTCATCCTCAAAAGACTCCTCAGCCAGGGTGGCGACTATCGCTCCGAGAAACAGGAGAACAAGTAGAGATTTCATTTCCAAAACAATGTTCACTGCTAAATATCCGCTAGCAATGTGAATAACATAGTTCTTCGCGCGGCCCTTTTTATGGGCCCGTGACCCTGATGAACGTTAGGCATATAACAAAAGCGCTTGCAAACACACATTTGCTGATTATTGTTTATTTTCCGTTAGGCGCGAGATTAATAAATATCTTATTGACTCTTATATCAACAGCCGGGATGTTTATCACCTTTTTCCTTTGTGAGCAGCTGTGTATTGTGTGCCATCTTTTATCTTTTTCTGTTTCACCCCTTTTGTTCAAAGTTATGTTTATTTTTTTTGGCGGCAAGCGTGAAAAACTTGTGTACACTTTTTGCTTTGTAAAAAAACAAATGACCAACAACAACAACAGTATATTTATCTTGCAACCTTTGTCGCATTACAGGTGTTAAAAGTATGGGATCCCTAACGAAAGATAGAAGGGAAGGAGAATGTGTGCGTTTGGGAGTGTTGTGGGTATAGAAAGCAAAAAAAAAGTTAGATGTTACGATTTGCACTAATAATGAGCGATCGGCAAACTCTATGTCTACCTCAAGCAAGTGCTAAAATAGAAAAAAAGGTAGAGATAAATTTATAAGTAAATGAAATGAAATGGCAGTATAAAAGACATACTTACAAAAATAAGAAGATGAAATAAAATTAAATTAAATGAAGGATGATCATCGCAGTTATCATTTTTTGCTTTGTAAAAAAAACCAACAACAACAACAGTATATTCATCTAACAACCTTTGTGGCATTAGTCGCATTACGGGTGTTCAAAGTATGGGATCCCTAACGAAAGATAGAAGTTAGGGAGAATGTGTGCGTTTGGGAGTGTTGTGGGTGCGAAGATGCACCTGTAGTAAATATTTTAGTAACTTCCAAACGCAAAGTAAAATATTTATCTTCAAGCTTGGCGCAAAATAAACACAAGGTTGAACAAAAGGGGTTAAACCGAAAAAGATAAAAGATGGCACACAATACACCGCTGCTCACAAAGGAAAAGGTGATAAACATCCCGGCTGTTGATATAAGAGTCAATAAGATGTTTATCAC